GACCAGAGAGGCATTAGCTTCTCCTTGCCAGAGTGGTAATCAGAGGTCTGCAAAGCAATGAGCTGCCCTAAACCCTATGTGGAGGACAACTACAGTGGAGCTGTGAAGTGTCTGTATTTGAGGAGAAGGCATTCTGTGAACCTGTCCAGGCTAAACTCCCGCTCCATAGTCCCTACGGCCCCTGGTGATAGCAGGGAACTAGATTTGATCTTCCACCTGGTCCTATCCAGCCCTGTATTCCCAGGTTCCTATATGCTTATCACCTTCACTACAGGTTAAAGTCCAGCTGTCTTTTAAATATTCCTTAGTCTCATCATCAACGTCACTGACGAAGTCACCAGCAGTGCTTTGGATCTGCAGATTAGGCTGATTTCCCCTGCTGACTAGCTGAAACCACTGCAGCAATGAGGTTCAGATCTGCTAACTTCAGATGTCTTCAGTGCAGAGGGCTGCTGAGAGCTCCTTCCCCGCTTTGTAGTCAGTGCAGAGAAATAGGCACTTTCAGGGCATGAGTCATCTGACCTATTTAGCCATCTTAGGAAGAGATGAATGAGTCCTTAAGAGGGTTTGTTTCTTTCCGCTGTCTAGACAGCCAACCTCTCGACTGCAAACACCTACCCTTGTTCCTGGAGCACGGCAGGCACCTTTCCCAGCGTGGTGAGGGCTGCTCCCTTCTTGTGGGTTTCCAGCACAGCCAGAGTTGTGTCAGAACTGAATATCCTAGGGGGGATTTGAGTTTAGCCTAACTTTGCCCCCACTGAAAACAAGGGAAGATTTCAATAAGAACAGCATTGAAATCCATTCCTGGAAAATCTATTTGGCCTCTAACTGAGAGTTTCCCATGCAGAGGGCACATGGAGTTGAACTTGTTGTGCCCAGGCCAGCCCTGGGACAGCATGATATGGACACCTGAGTTGGGTGCCCATGACACATTTCAGGTCTGAACATCATTTGGCTGTGTTGGTCAAGAAAGAGGGGCTTATTATTCTAGGTTAAACCAGCAAGATTGAACTGACTGTTCGGGTGGTACAGCTATGTGACTGTGACCCAGTGCTACCACACATAGGCCTACCAGTTAAGGTAGTTGAGGAGCTGTGCACGGCAGTGTGTGTGTAATGGTATGCTTTAACCCTTGGAGTCTCTACTAGTTCTTCACAAGAATGCAAAACACCAAACACTGTGCAGTTTAATAAAACATCCCATCCTTAGAAGAAAGCCCAATGACTGGGACTTTTTGTGATTACAGGGACTATAATGACTTTCTCCACACAAAAGCAGGAGGGTATCCAGGAAGTGATTACTATCTTTTTCAAATCAACACTTTTTGCATCCCCCCAAAATCCAGGTGACTGCTCTCTAGGTAGCTTGGCCTATCCCTCCTGTACCACCAGTTCCTTGTCTAACACCAGTAGGATACCTACCTGCTCATCTCACATGTTACAGTTCAGCTCCTGAGCTTTCCTTCAGTCTTCATCTATAGAATCACAGCTGATAAAGATCCTTAGATGCCAGTAAGATCGGTGGCAAGAACTGAGAATGACAGGGCAGGCTTGGGAAGGAGGTATTATATAAATAAAAAGGGTTCTAACATGGTTAAAATAAAGCTGTACATCTGGGAAAGAGGGACTTTGGCACTGAAAAGACCCAATGGGTGACAAATGGTCTAAAGCCATCTTTTGTTTTAAAAGTGGGAGGCGGTGAGTCGCAGCAGGGATTGGATTCACATATGTACTCCACAACTATGAGGCTGATCCTGAATGCTGTGGCTGAGGCATGGGCACGTATTTCGGAAAGGATGCTCTAAGGCCAGAGAGAGTGAAGAGAGGGGTCCAAAACCTATGAAACAGCTGAGAAAGTGCTTTTTGGTGAGATACACAAAGAATGCTTTGCCTTGAGCTTATTACAAAGGTTGAGAGTGGTCTTGAGCACAGGTTTATCTCAGCAAAACTGTCCTATGAAAGGACTCTTCCAGCTAGGGGAAAGAGGTTCTACCAGAGTCAAGGGCTAGAAGATGAAGCCAAGGAGTTCACATGGGAATAAGGCCGGATGCCATTAACCAAGGAATTCATTAGTCACCAGATCTATGTGAAGTGTCAAGATTCACCAACTTTGTGAGAGAGCACCTTTAGCCAAACAAAAAGATACCCTAGAGCCAAGGAGAAGCTGCTGGGCTCTGTACATGCAGAAGTGAGGACAACTTTGGCCTATAACAAGCAAGGAGAGCAAATCAGGTACCTGAATGACCTGGCAGCTTCTGGTTCTATGTCCCAGATTCATCCCTCTGATGTTAAACAGGTCACTGAGCTGTCTTCTACAGCTAGTGGACAGAGACAGCTATGTCCAAACAGCAGCTCTCCCTGCAGAAGACATCAATTGCCCTGTGGCATCACCCCATCTCTACTGGAAGCAAAAGGGGCCTCAGGCAGGTGCAGGAAGATCTATGGAGCAATAGAAACCCCCCCACATCATAGGGATTTCTTACCTTACCATCACTATATTTTTAGTCTGTCCATTGCTACAGAAGTGTATCCTGCCTGAAGGATTTGGGACAGCTGCAGCATTAAAACATACAGTGGAATTTTTCAGGTTTTCCTTAAGCATGAGCACAGGGCTAGCAACGGAGCTCTCAGAGTTAAAAAACAACCTCCTCAGCGCTCAGTCAATGCCAGTGTAAGTCCAGCCATCCAGCAGTGCCCCTTCAGTGCCAGCACCACAGCAGCCAGTAAGAGCCCTGCCAAAGCAAGAGTCTGAGTCATACGCTGGGCTGGCCATCACCTGGCTGCTGCTCTCCATGAAGACAAGAACGAGACCATTCAAAATTAATATATATTTTTATTGAATAGTTGCTCTAAGTGGGCTTGTGAAGCCACCCATAGAATTACTTCTTTCATTTCAGCAGTGGTTCAGTAACAGTTATTAGCTTTGCAAAAGAAGAAAATCAAACAGAAGAGGGTGCACTAAAATAAATAGGTTATTTTTTTCTTATCTTTAAAATAAACTTTTCAAATAAATACTTTGTTTTGTTTTTCTTTTTTTTTTTGTTTGTTTTTTTTCCCCCCTTAAACGTTACAAGAGTATTGTCAAAAAACAGCCATCAGGTTATAAACATGTATTATACCTTATAGAAAGGAACCCAGATAAAGACAGCCGGGGAGAGATCTCTTTATACACTGTACAGAATGCCTTTGTACCAACTAAATGGAGAATTAGATGCTTCGGTTCGTGGTATGAGACTCTCCTTTGAAGCCAAGAGGATCCATCTTCTAAGGAGAACTTTGTGCTAAGGACACCTGGGGAGACAGGAGGCTGCAGCAGCCACTGCCTGTCCAGAGTATCACAAAGGCCTGAGGGAACCATTGAGCAAAGGAAGGGTACAGAGGAAAGAGAGGAAGGGGGAAAGGGACTCCTTCAGAGCAGAGCAGCAGCATGGGAAAGGAGTGGGCTGGCTGTGCCTGGTCCAGGAATGATCACACACCTCTTGGCTATTGCCATAATTGGGACAGAGACGCAAGAAATCTCCTCTCCCAAGGAGCAGGCCCGCTCACCAGGGAGGGGTTTGGTCCTGCTCCCACTGAAAACATCAAGGGTGTTGCAGTAAGATTCAGCAAGAGAGAAACCCAGGCCTCTGTCCTCACACCCTGGGCTCCTGCACACTGATCCTGCTTCCCTTTGCTTGGCATTCATACACTTGCTGATTTCACATGGGCCACAAAGAGGCATTGTTCTCTTCCCATCCCTCCAATATCCCTCCTAACTACAGTCCCTTTGCAAGGGGACCTTTCAGCCTCTCTGGCTAATGCCCTAAGTGGATTCTTCTGTGACTTTTACCCCAAGTAGGACAAAAAAAATCTCGCGTGGGCAAGCTCCAAGCCTGCAGTCTGGGAACAAAGAGCAGTTACTAAAAGGAGAAGCAGTTTACAAGAGATCTCAATGTTTATTGAGAAATATCCCAAAGCAGATTGAGCCAGATGGAGATTATAGCTCTGATTCTGCCCACATGGAACGGATCCCAACCAACGTCCTCCAACTGCATGCGAGTATCCAGCAGGTATGGGCTCTATATGCTCTTTGAAGGAGGCAAGCCTGAACTGGATGCAATTAAAGACTGAGAATGGACTTCAAGATGGGGTGTGGGTACATCCCTTCTCAACTTTCTTCACCTGCTGACCCAGAAAAGTCTGACTTTCCAATATCTGCCCACACCTCAGCCTTTCCAGGCTTAGCCAGCCTGGGCACACCCAAGGGCCAGAGATACAGAATGAACTAACAAAGCAGTGCTGACAACATCAGGTTTGGGGCATGGTGTGCTCATCCTTTGTTCCTTCCACTCATGTAAACCCTGCAGTGGATCCTCTCACCCCTCCACTCATCCCTCTCTATCGCGCTAAAGCGGCTCTTCACAAGCTGTTATTTTGTGCTTTGGCATATATTGGCCAATGGCACTTCCCTCAGGTCTTTGAATTCACATGTAGAGATGGGGAAGAGCCAACTCAATAGGATTTTATGGGAATCTGAGCGTAAAATCCCAAGGACCCCCCCCCCCCAAAAAAAAAAAAAAAAAAAAAAAAAAAAAAAAACAAAAACAAACCTCCC